AACATATTCTCTACTGCATGGTGCTAAAAATGGCTCGATATCGGGCTCAGATTTTGAGTGAAAAATGTTTGCGAGGTCTTTTGCAAATGCAATGCCAAACTGCTTTATGAAGCTGCCGGCTTAAAAAAATGGTAAGATTCTACATTATCTAAAAATAAAATGGGTGTCGCAATCCTCATGCATTTCCAAACAAATTTGATCTCTTGCTGTTATTTCGTCCGACGCCTGGTTTTTGCTTAAAAAAATGAAAATCGTTTGACGGCAGCGTCGACTTGCTAAAATCGGACGGGCTCTGTTGTGTGCAATTCAAACTTTACCACCCTGTATTGCGAAAGCTAGAGCGTCTACGATATATGCTGATATAAAGTTTTTGTCTTGAAATTGGTCCAAGAATCGTCCCTTAAAATATTAGATTCATATTGGGAAAAACACTGATTTTGGTCCTTCGAGCGGGATTAATAATTCGGGTAAACCCGCTTTGAAGGACCAAATTAAGGCAATGAAGTAACAGAATCAACTTGATTTAGCTGGGCAGGTTTTTTTTGGTCCAAGTTTTTGAACTTACATTCATTTCCACACCATCTCACTCACTCCCCAACAGCTCACAACTAACCAAACCTGACCACAGTACTCACATTAATATTAATAATTCTAGGCAGAGGGTGTTTCGTATTGGCGCCCCCTTCAATCGCAATGCCCAAAATCGGTTTGGTTTTCTTCACCATCACGCGCAAGTTGCCCTCTTCGTCCTGTAGGACTCTGGGCGGTTCCCTGGGTTCCAACTGTCCATCTCTGGTCAGACGCTGCATTGATTGGTGGCGGCGCATCACTTCATCCCCCTCCAATAAGCTGCCATCCTCTTTCATGTCGAAGCTGCGCGATAGCTTGTGCGCGAGCTCCTAAACAGAGTGAAAGCGACAGTAAACTGGCTGTAGGCAACTCAGATTTGTGAACTTTGGGGGACTTTCGACGTTGAAAATTTGCTGTGCTAAAAGTAATGCGATTTACCACCACTTATCTTAGGAGGAAAAGTCAACGGGAACAGACATGCAGGGGCAAAGTCATTTTGCAAATAACTCGCGAACTACTCGGAGTTTTTTGCTCGCGTATTCCGAGGTCTTTCAGGGTGACAAATTTGGCTTGAGGAAGTCGTTTTTGGCCATCACAATCTGCCTTGGTTCTCATATTTTTCTTCTTCTACATTGTTTATTATTTGAAAAACACATTTCTAAAAACACTAATGCAGGCTGCAAGTGAGGAGTTACTTAAAGGTACATTTTCAACACTATGGCCAGCACGAAGTCCAGATTTTGATCCTCTAGATTTTTCAGTGAGGAAATACCTGAGCTGCTGATGAAATTTGTCATCCTCAAAAGCTCCAGAGCGTTTGTAAGTTGTTTGGAAAAAACAAGTTGAAGTTGTTTGTTGCTGTTTCCGTTGACCCTCTTAGGATAAGTTGTGCTAAATCATCGAATTTTGGCCGTAGAAACCGGACATTTTTGCATCACTACTTACGAGGCCCAGTAAATCAACTTCTATAACTAAATGCAAACTAAACTACTAGAAGAAATCGATAGGGAACAGAATGTGGTGATCATGAGGGAAAAATCAGCAAACTAGTTTGCCCTATTTGCAGTGAAATCTACAAGGTGCTCTAACAAGGTCGCAAAACTCTAAAACTTTCATGCCCCCGCATGCATGCGATGTCTGACCCCAAAGTGAACCTTGACTCTGAAACAGCCCTTAGTGTAATCGTTTGTCGTTAGGTAATACAGTTTCCCATCTCCAAGAGAGTGTTTGAGGTGGAGCTGCACAATGGGAGACTGTATTTAGCCAAAAATGTCCAAAAGATACAACACTACTCAATATGCACAATGCCTTGATTGCGTGTATTTGGTGACAGAGCTGAACTCATCTGAGTATTAGTTGGTGGTAGGTTTCAGGTAAATCTACAAAAACAAGCGACTTGAAGAAGCAGTGTGGAGAAGTAGAAGGTGCAGATAATTTGAACATCCGAAAGCCAGATTAGTGGAATTTTTCGTGTGGGTTTTGGGTGTGGAAATGTGGAAATTTGGGGTTCCAATTTCGGCGATTCGCGATCCCAGCAAACATTTTCGCCATCATCATCATCTGAAAACGTTTGCCGTGATCAACCAAAAGTAACTAAAACAAACCATCAGGTGTCGATCATCGTGCTTGTAATAAATAGTGCCGATCGGCGGGAATTGTTTGGCCAAATCACTAGAAAGCAATTCCGAACGCAAATTCTACAAACAAACGAAACAGAAAAAATTCCCGAGTGAACGCAAACGATTCCCGCAAGTCCAATATAGATCAAAGGAAGGAAAATCTAAACCATCCGAGGCCATGCTCATTTCGTAGTGCTGTATATGAAGGAACAAGACCTACGATGACTTACTAAAGGTCTGCCCCAGTACCAAGACTTCACCTTCTGGGTCCAACCGCCCAAGCTCGATCGCAGTCCTCCCAAGTACCCGCTCTGCAAAATATGTTTAGCTCATTTTCCACTGTCCATCAGCTGTTCCAACACAACAGAAAACATTCAGGAAGTGCATGTTAATTGGCCGCTTACACCATAAATATTTAAAAGCCACATGGTGGGTTCGACCTTCGCTCGCTTTACCTGACCCATTGTTTACCTCAGGTGTTTTCTACCTGTTGGCTACTCTTCGAGCTTCTCTTTCAGCTGCGCTCCTGATAGGCGGTTCTTTCTGAAGATCAACGGGTTCAGGCACCCAACCAACCGGACAAGTTGGTTTGGTTTCTTCAATTTCTTCGCGATTCTTCGACCCAACTGACCGACGGTTTCTAGTTACTACCATGGCCGTTGCTATGTTCTCCTGATCAGATGTGCTTCTTCTAGATCATTTGGTTGACTCTCTTTGATCATATCTGTCGAAGATCGTGATCAAGACCCATCCTTAAGACATCGAAGGCTATTTACGTGTATTAACTATTGTCTAAGGGGTTGGTCTTTATTAACTGGAAGAAAACCTTCAACACAGTCAAAGCCGTGAAGATACAACCGAAGAAACATCGTGATTTATTGCGTTCTCTGTACCCGCCACCACCCACTTCTTTCTTCTAGGTTGTTTTGAAGATATCGGGTGTCTTTCTTCGTATTCTGTGTTCCTGGTGGAGGCGAAACCGAATGAAGATCAATGGGTTAAGGTTTCTCCAAAAAAAACCTTCAAACTTTCATTGTTTCCAATTTGCCGTCATGAGTTCATTCCATTCAACTAATTTCAACTAAATTTTTGGTTGTTTTTAGTGTAACAAGTCTTGAAGCAAGCTGGTTGGTTGGTTGGTAGGTACCCAAACTCCATCCATACTGTTTTTTGTCTTGGATTTTCTTGTTCTTCTTCTGCATTCGGTTCTGTTGATGGTCGGTGGTTCTTCACTGGTGCCCAAGTGTTGCATTTTGCTGAAGAAATTATCAGGGACACATAAAACGCACTGAATGTGGATGAACCACTGCGTTAAGACCTTTTGCCTTCGGCATGCACTTGGTGACGAGAATTATCTGAAAACGGCCTGAAATCTCCATCCGTTTGCATTTTTTCTCTAGGAAATTGATCTGGAGATGATCTGAGAACCAAAACGTCGCTATAAAACAAACGATTTGGATTTTCTGTCTAGAGTTGGCTGAAAACGGACGCTCACTGCGTTCTAAGTTAAATTTAGTCCATAAACCAATTGATTTGAGTTTTTTGCGTCGAAAATTGACTAAAATCAGCCCGAAGTTTCGATCGAATTTTTTTCTTCTGTTGGGAATTGATCTGATTGTGGTTTAAGAACCGAAACGACGTTCTAAAGTTTAGGATTTTGATTTCGCTTCGAAATTTGTCTGAACTCAACCATACATTGCGATCTAGATTATTTGTACACAGCAAAATTTCTTTGATGATGTCTTGATGACCGAAACGGGTGCTTTATAAATCAATGGGGTTCGTGTCGAAGTCTGCCCAAAAACAGGCAGAAATTGAGATCGAGACAATTGCGTTCCGAGGAGAAATTCATAAAGCAAACGATTTGAATTTTGTGTCTAAATTTGACGAAAAACGGTCCCTTATTGCGATCCAAACGATTTTCATACAGGAAAAATAATTTGATGATGGTTGTAATTTGATGATGGTTTTAGTACCGAAACGCACCTTATAGACCAATTGATTTGAACTTTGCGTCGAAAACTGACTGAAACCGGGAACAACTTCCGATGGAGCTGGATTTTTTAATAGAAAATTGACCTGATGATGTTTTTAGTACCGAAACGGTTTGGATTTAAACGCCAAATGAATTTTATTCAGAAAAAAATGTGTGATGATGGTTTGACAACCGAAACATACGTTCAAAACCATCTGATTTCGATGAAAATTTGACTGAAAGAAGGCAGAAACTTAAATCGAGATGCATAGATTTTGCATCAAAATTTCACTAAAAACTTATTGCAACCTAAATGATTTTCATCCAGGAAAAATAATTTGATGATGGTTTTAGTACCGAAACGCACCTTATAGACCAATTGATTTGAACTTTGCGTCGAAAACTGACTGAAACCGGGAACAAATTCCGATGGAGCTGGATTTTTTAATAG